ACAGTTTCGTTTTGAATGTTGTCGACGGATGCCATGTATATCTAAAGAATATCTTTCCCTCCATTTGCGACCCCAACAGAGCAGCAGTTAGGCACCTTTCGCGCTGCCGGCGGATCGCGCAAGACCCCCTGTTCCGCGGGTTACCGACCTCCAAAAACCCACCCCCCCCCTGGTGTTTTTCGACTTGTGATTTTTGGCAATGCCGGCGCTTCGCGAGTCCGCCTAACTGCTGCTTCATCACAAATGGTCAATTGAATTTTTTATTAGTACCTTTTTCTTGTTTTTGTTTACTTGTTGGTTGAATTCATTCTTTTCATCGTTACTCACAGCTGGTGGAACTTTTTCTTTGACAACTGAATTCTGTGAAGGTTTTGTATTTGATAAAAGTACAGTCATGTCTTCTTCCTCCGCCTCCTGCAAAGGCATGAATAATTCAAGAGTATAAACATGTGAATTTGTGTTTCATCAAGCAAATATTCTCGGGGGAAATTGTGAGTGCTCCAGGTGGGAATCAAAGATGGGACCTGTGGTATCAAGAGTAGGTAATATTATATCTATACACTCAGGAAACGTTTTTAATCGCTGGTCAACCGAACATGATTATATTAAACGTATTACTTACTTCATCACTTTCCTCCATTTCTTCTTCTTCCGACTCCTCTTTGTCTGATTCACCATCATCACTTTCAAATTCTTCATCATCATCCTAAATATAACAATACAAATGTCAAAAACAATGTCAGAGAGCATACACACCTTCCATTATTTACAGTGATCACTCATAAACTGTCATTTTACTATCTGGCTTCTGATTGGTTGAGACAAATCAACCAATCTTGGATAAGGAACGAGCTTGAGATAATAAATGTATTATCTGTAGGTTTGTCTGTAAATAATACTGATATCAAGAAGATTATTCTTTGTGTTACCATTTCATTTTCATCCATTGTTACAGCGTTGGTGGGACCACTTGACTGTAGGACCATTGCATCATCCATTGTGCTATCCATTCCTGCACCTTATTTTATAGAAATCGATACCATTAATACAGACTAAATTAACCGACAAATAATGGTAGACAGCACAGCCACAGAACAGATTTGATGAAAATCAAGAAGGAATTGTTTGAATGGAAATACTATGAAACAAAACTAACTAAAGAGATGTGAAATTTAAAAAAATACCTTTTAGTTCATTTTCCTCTTCTTTCTGCAAAGATGCCTAACATTAAATAATTAATGAACACATGTTTAATATTTCATTTATCGATTCTAAACAATCAAGATTTGATAGTTAAAATGATGGTACAGAATGTCATATATATGCAGGTTATATTCTACCCTACCAGGTCAAATTCTTTGCTCCATTCAGAAACAACTTCAGCTGAGACATGAGTTGGCATGGTATGTGTCTCTGGTGGATGGGTGTAGAACAGGATCTTTCCACTGCAGGAAACAATAAACAAATAGCCCCCTTAAGTATACTCTAGGGTTACTGTGACTTGGTAGTAGTAAATAATAGTACGAGTAAGAGTGGGAGTAAAGAATGTGACACCAAAAACCTATTGATATACTGACAACCTATCAACATCCTAATGACACTCTCCCAAAACCCTACAGACAAGTCTCTCCCAAAACCCTACAGACAAGTCTCTACCAACATCCTACAGACCCTCTTCCAAAACCCAACCAACACCTTACCAACACCCTACTGACATCCTACCAACACCCTACTGCTCCCCTATGGATGCCCTCCTGAAAACCTACTGGCATCCTACTTTACTATTGCTAAATACAGTCAACTCTCCCCTCACCCCAATATTGCAGACACCTTGTTATTACGGACTGGAAAAATACCCAACAAAAATACTGACAAAGAAATGACCATATAATAATTTTTGCTATTGCGRATGTTTGCTATTATGGACATCAAGTGATGGTCCAAGGATGTCTGCTGTAATGAGAGTTGCCTGTACAATATTGCACATGCCAATAAACAGCTATAAACAGGTTTGTAGTACACATGACAGTATAGTAAAATCAAAACAAACTGTGACAAAAATTTGGCTTCCTGGCACAGCAAATTATATTCCTGTGAACAATTCATATCCCATGGTACAGATGCAAGTTACAATATGTACCTGTTCCAGTCACGTAAAACAGTTTTTCCAGCAGCAACAATATCTGGTATTCCACCTGGAAATAACAAGGAAACAGAACTTAGAATTRATTCTGGACAGTCTGAGTACTAAAAAAACCGAAGAGTGAAAGCTCATTCATATTCAACCAAGTTGCAGCAATGGAATGTTGTACTGTAATAAGAGTAGGAAGTTTACCTTTTTTAAGCTTCCCTAGACGTTTACCAAGATGAGCTAAAAACTCATTGGTATCTCGGTAATCTGGAACAGAGTACTTTTCCATAACCTGAAAATAAGTAAAGTGTAAATCTCTTGAAGCTTGAGATACAGCTTTAACAGAGGACATTCAGTCAAATATGGAAGACTTTCTTAGTTAGTAATGATATAAATTCTGCTTTCCAGTGTTAATAAGTTGAGGAAGTCAAGTATTATTAAATTCAATTACTATCATTATTTATTTATTATTAGTGCATGTATGTTTACCTGTTGTTTGTTGCATCTTTTCAAGATGGCTTCTACTGGAGGAATAGGATCGTCAATGTTCTCTATCTTTATGTGAAAATAAAAAGAAATCAAGACATGAGCATGCTTTCATATACATGTAGCATTCTAGGAGCTATGCATCAATAGATTGCTTGAACACTGTCACTCAAATGCTCAACCATGGTTTATGCATCCACACACAGCTAATAGAATGGTTGAATAGACCTATCCCGAATTTGCTTGACTGGTCATGAAACAATGGTTTCAAGTCGAGGTTGAACTTGATGAATAAAAGAATCAAGTTCAGTCTTGACTTCAAACCATTGTTTTGTCAGTCAAGCGGATTCGGGATAGACCTATTACTCACATATATCTGGTGGTCATACTGGAGTGTTACATACCTTAACACAGTTCTTAAGTATAACAGCAGCATCTGAGTTCCCTGTGTCCATAACTATCCCAGGGCTGTCTAGTAACTTGATATGTTTGTCTAACTGTATTTCTTGCATAGATCTACCGTAAAATGATAAGATTAAAAATGCTGCATGGGGTGAGCTTAATATTAGCTTGCAACTTCATATCACTTAATAGAATGTTATGTCAATAATGAATCTAATGGAATAAACATAGGGAACTCATTCCTATATTATCTGGGGCACAGACTTTTTTCTGAGTTTCCAACAGTATATGTCTATTCCATTAGTAGTTTCAGTTTTCAATAACTTCATATCAGGGTGGAAAAAAGATGTGTGTAACTCACTTAGTAACTCCTGGAGTATTCCCCACTGTACAGGCTCTACTTCTCTTCAGACTGTTTATAATACTACTTTTCCCTACATTTGGAAATCCTAAATGGACAAACATCATCAATAAAATAGATGGAAACAATGCCAAAATTAACTTCGATATGCATTATAATATTGCAAGCACAACACATTATTTTCATTTACTGCAATTTTCAATTTTACACTAACCCGGTAGTTGTAAGCTACTCACACATAGTGAAATTTGGTCTCACTGTTGTCAATCAAAAATAGTCAGCTGATACAGCACCTTTTATATTTTTTGACTGGCATCAGCAAAAAATTAATTTCGCATTGAGCTGTTGCAATGTGTGAGTTTGCATAATATTGAGAATCGCAGTAATCAACATTGGCAGCACATCTGATCATTTGCCTTTAAAGTAATTATCTCTAAGTGTACTAATTACTTTACTGCTATACATAATAAGCAATATTCCTACCTACTACTCCAACAGTAATAGCTGTTTTTATATCCTTATTACGACAGTAATTTCCCAGCAGTTTTAACAGGGTGTCTGCTCCAACACAAGAACTTGATGAAAGTACATCTTTATTGGCTAGTGCAACTGGGATCTTGCTGTGACTCTGAAATAATTGAGATTTTGAAATATTCTTTATTCATCAATTTAAACATCCAATTACACATCAATACATCCATCTTTTCACTCATTTACTCATTCATTCATCAAATTATTAATTCATCCATGCATTCACTCATCCATCCATTCATTTGTTCACACTTACACCCTATTCACCCGTTTATTTATTCTTTTTTTTTTTTTTTTGCTTATTTCCTCAGTGTATTCAATTCACCCACAAAAATTAATATTCCATTCTTTTATCATTCATCCATTCATCCCTCTGTCAATTCATTCACTCATTCTCTCATTCATTTACTATAGGTTTTAGATTTAGAAAAGCGAATCGCCTACCAAGTTCTGCTTCTGGGTCTGTGTGGAAGATTTGAATATAACAGCCGGAAATTCATTCCTCAGATATTTCAGCCATTTCTCGGCTATATCTTTTGGTATAAGATCTAATGCAACAACAAAAATATATACATGTAAATTTGCATATTAAATAATAAATTTGTAGAACAATGAATTATGTTAGAATGTGTATAAAAGATGCTGGAATGATAGTAAATTATAGGAATGCACAATTATTTATCTTACCAATTTTATTCAAAACAAGGACAAGTTTCTTCTGACTTCCAGATGCCAAGACTGCTTGCTCGACCTAAAAGAAATTTATTAAAAAATATCATCTTGCACCAACTATCGAAATACTGTAATCAGTTGGGCTACCTGTGTAAAACACAGGAAGCCCATATAAAATATGAATTTCTTTTGGTACAAACCTGTGGGCATCTGCAGCCAATAGGGTCTCTTGCATCCAGTACTTCTAATATCACATCTGCTGCATCTACAACCTTTTTGAATTCTTTGTAATAGGCCTTCAATGATGTTTCTGGAATGGACAACAGAAAAGTCAGGAAATAATATAGAAAAGACATGAATAACGTTGGGAAAATATGAACATTAAACACTGATTTGACTATAATATTATACGTTGACTAAAATATTTTGTTTCACAGGTCATATATCTTCACTCTAACAGGAAAATAAAGCAAAATTGGTAGCTCTTGGAGTAATCTTTTCACAAAGAGAAATGTGTGTAAATAGGCTCTTAAACTTCTGTAGCTGGTTTTTCCTTTCAAAGCCAGATAAATTCCATTATTACAAAGTAAACCAGAGAAAGAAATGAACTTTATTATCTCACCAGCTCTTGCTCCCATAGCATATTCACTATCCTTTAAGCCTTCTTTTAATGCTTTCTGTAAAGACAATATAAAACAAAATTAATAGTTAGGTATCATCATACAAACACAGCAAGCTCACTGGAAAACATAATTATTCTAATGACATAAAAAAGACCATAAGTTTAATACATACTCCTTTTTAAAGTTCCACTCAGAGACAAATTTCATAAATAATAGTTTCAAGTTGAGGTAGAAGTTGCTGTGCATGATAAAAAATTCCAACTTTTATTGTGGTCACTGAACAGAATTGTAAAAGGAACTCATACTAGTTTTTATTACCTTCTTTTCAAACTCCTTGCCCCTTTTTAAGGCATCTTCTTGCAGATTGAAAAGGTTTCTTCTTTTATTCACTTCCCTTAATCTCTTTTCTTTTTGCTTTCTTTTTATTTCCTCATCCTTTAAAGTGAACAAAGTAATAGTGTAGGATTACTGGTACTGGTACCATATGAATAAATGACTGTAGTATACATGCAAGATTCCAAGCTTTTGCTGGTGCATCATGCATGCACGGTGACACTCTGACCCCCTCTCCTGACCCCAACCCCAACTCAGGATGAACAGACAGGAAGGCTTGGTATTATTACTGGCAACTGTGTTGTATTAGTGAATGATGAATAATGTTACATTATCCATACTATACCTTCAGTTTCTTTTCTTCCATCTGTCGCAGAAGTTGGTCCTTGAATGGATAAAGGTTGGGAATCCCTGGATCCTTCTTTCGTTCTGAAACCAGAAACAATAGTAGTATTGTAGCAACTAACTTAAGGGTTTAACTAACTTAATGTGCATTGGCCTTTAGGAAGTAGAGAAAAAACCGGATCGAGTTGGCATCTCCATCTTGGAAATGTACCCCTGGCAGGCCCACGATGCACTACGATGCCAGTTGACTAATGATCCAGTTTTTTCCCACAACTTCAGAATAGCAAATTATATATCAATGTACAGTATATCACTATCACCCTACCATCTTCTTCCCCCTTCCTTCTTTCTATAGAATCCCTTGTGTACGAATTTGTAGAAATGAGCTAATACCTACGAGTAGTGCAAATATTTAACTCACTTTTTGAAATGCCACTTTTTCTTGTTTCTTTTCGTACTTTTCTGTGATGTTCTGCTACCTAAGGAGAAGTAAAGCAGCGAGTTTTATATTCATATATGTGTGAAAATGTATTTACTTTTCCTTTACTTGCTTTTAATCCTTATGTTTAAAGGAAAATACAGATAAATTGTAGAAAATTCTAAACATACGGATGTAATTTTAAGACGTTTTTTAGCTCGAAGTTGGTGGTTTTTTCTCACCTTTTTCTTGATTTTATATTTCATTTTCGCCTCCATACGTTTACTCTTCTTCTCTAAATGTTCGGATAACAAAATATTGGCCATCAGATTAAAATCAAAGGATAAAAAAGAGAAATATTTGACTTACTTGGACCGACCATGTTTGATCTTGAAAAATATACACGTGCAATAACCTAAACCCAGTCTCCTCGCAGCTTCGTTCCCAAATCCTTTGTTTGGGGTTCCTGTGTTTTTCAGAACATGATGAAAGGGGACTTTAGAAACACATAGATAATTACATAGAAATAGGAATAACTTGGCGTTAAGAAATGAAGATTGAATTTATTTTTGGCCTTTTCATTTCTAAATTTTTGAAAAACGATAGTATTAATATTCTTTCGTCTGGGGTTCCTGTGTACCTCATCCCCAACATTTGGTGAAAGGAACACAATCAGATACCTTGGTTTTCAAAATGGCGGATTGATGTAGAGTTTCAACTTCAATTGACCGAATTTTTGACTCATTGCAGATGAAGTTAGCAACGATATATGATATAATCCCTCCATGGTTTGCTGCAGTCTTTACTGCCGTGATGACAGTGGTTTTATTCAAGGTTTCTCGAAGATTTTTCCCAATTGTTCCTAAAATAGAAGGCTTCTGGGAATTCTGGCCATGGCGTCGCAAAAAAGTGCCTAAATTCGCTAAAGTATACGTCCTTCAAGATGCCAATGAATGTGACCGTATTCTCCAAGCCTACAAAAATGAATACCCATTGCCGCTTAATTTTCTAGGGCTGGACTGTGAATGGGTGAATCAAAAAGGAATCGAATCCCATCCTGYTGCTTTGTTACAGATTGCTACACCTTTGAATGACTGCTTCTTGATCCGCTTGTACAAGATGAGGGGTTCTTTCCCTGTAACGTTGAAGGAGATCCTTGAAGACAGGAATATTTTGAAATTTGGTGTTGGTATACAAGATGATGCTAAGAAACTGAATGGGACATATGGGTTGGATGTTAGTGGGTGTGTGGATTTGAGGCACGTGACCCTGCGCTGTCAATCATATCAAGGATCAAAGCCTGATGAACAAAATTTAAAGGGGTGAGTACTAGCTCAGTCCTCAGAGGTCTGGTCAGTTCTGAACATGTGTATATTGACCACCGTTCTTAAAAGTGCACTTGATACTTTAACTTTAAAGGCATTTGTAAAAAGGAAGATGGCCATCCCCTTCCTTCTACCATGGGGTATATAGTATTGGAGTTCCAAAGGGAATGTAGTAAACTGAGAAGAGTACAGTGTTTTGTGAAAGAATTTATTAGGAGGTAGAGATGTGAATTGCACCCTCTGAAGATCAGTTATTTTCTTAATCTATTAGCATGTAAGAAATTTAATACCTCATTAGTAGGCAGAGCCAGAAACAGGTGCATAGGCAAGGGGGCCAGCACCCCCCCCCCCCACCTGGCCTCATGCCCCTCCTCCACACCTCATGCCCCCCCCTCCTCACCTGATATGCAGCAAAATAGCAGCTTTTTAGAATTCATATGGCGTTTTCATTTCTTTAAATTTAAATAAAATGTAAAAGGTACTGCCTGCTTGTTTTGGTTTCACTCAAATAAAATGGCAGGTTTTTTTAAATTGGACCTCYCCCTTCAGAAAATCCTGGCTACCTCCCTTAGAATTGCTTCAAATGGTAATTTGATATCTTTTTTCTAATTGTCTTCTGTAGACCTTCGAAGATGGGACTTGATGCACTTTGTAAACGATACCTTGGTGTCCAGATGGACAAATCATGGAGAGTCAGATGTAGCAACTGGGAAGCTGATAGCCTATCTGGTAGACAAATTGAATATGCAGCTCATGATGCCATTGTTGCTGTGCACATATTTTTAACTCTAGCAAAGCTTAAAAGTTATAACAAGGAGAGAGAACTACCATTAATGGATGAACAAGGAAAGAATAGTGACAGTAAACAGAATGTCCAAAGTAATAAAAACCTTTGTTTTGATTCAGAAGAAGGTTCAAAAGTTACTCTATCATTAAACAAGTATGAAGTTGAACCAAAGAAAGGGTATGTTACTGGTGTGGCTGAGATGCTATCGGAYTCTGTATTTTGCCAGAGAGCTATATCTTTGTGTAAAGGAATCGTGGATTTAGGATTTAAAAGCAAATTCCTAAAGAATCCATCTAGCATAAGGAAGGAAGGATTCTTGAATAAAGGTACAAAGAATCCTTACAAAACTGGCACACCACAGAGGAAGAGCCCTTTATATACTAATTGTCAGCTGGTGGCTCCAGATGGGGAAAGGCTATGTATACTAGACCGTAAGAAAGCTGAATGGTATTTGGACAAAGAGATAGGTGAGTTCAAGTAACTAGGCTTAAGATTTGGTTGTAAGTAATACTGTAAAACAAAAGGCATTCATCAGCTAAAGTATTTATTTATTACAGATGTAATCAATTTCTGTAGCTTGTAGTGACCAGCTGGGACACTAAAGGGAGTAAAACTAAATGTTTTAAGGGCCATGGCCCTGACAGTAGTGAACGTGCGTGGTAGCAAAACGACCAGTATTCCTGCAGGCCATATAGGCCCAAACTCTCTATCTGCAGATCTCAAGTCCATTGGAACTACATTCCTTTCTTCCCGAACATTGATCTTATAATGATAATGTGTCTAATTATAATGATTTAATAAAATGATAATAATAATATGAGATAAATATCAAAATTGATACAATGAAATATAATATTTTTTCATTGTAGGTGAATTGATTTCTGAAGATCCTTATACAGTCAGACTTAAATTTGAACCCTCTGCCCGTCCTGTGAAAGATGACGACTACTATTTGACGTTCAAGGATAATATCTGTGTTGTGTGTGGAAAAAGTGACAGCTATGTGCGTAAGAACATTGTCCCCCACGAGTATCGCAGGTACTTTCCAGACTGTTTGAAGGATCACCATTCACATGACGTCGTCCTGATGTGCCCAGAATGTCATAGATTGTCTTCAATTTTTGATGAGCAGCTACGACAACAACTGGCCAAAAAATATGATGCTCCTCTGGGGAATAAAGGTGGGTTAAAGTGCACTTGACCCCTAATAATACTCAAAGTGAAATTTAGTTGAATGTTGGAATAAAATACATGATTCCTTTTGTCAGAACTTGCCAAGTTTATTCAAGATCCTGTAAGAATGAAGGTACGTTCTGCTGCCAAAGCTTTGATGCATGCTGCCAACAAGCTTCCTAAAGAAAGAGAAGAAGAGCTCCAACAAGTTTTGAAGGATTACTACAGGACAGAGGAACTCACTCCAGAATTTATAAAAGATGCATCTGTAATGGAAGTCCAGAAAGAAAATGTCAATTTCAAGTCGCACGGAGAAGTCGTTATCAATCAAGTCACTGAACAGAAAAAGTTACTAGAGTTTGAGAAGATGTGGAGGGTTCATTTTCTAGAGACTCTCAACCCACAGTTTTTGCCCAAATTGTGGTCTGTAGAACATCGATTTGATAAAATGAAGGATGCTCTTGAAAAGCTGGATTTGCAGTAGTTTGTACAGCTTGGACCACGTTTTTGGCTAGTGAGATTCTTGTGGTCATGATTGTGGATATAGCTAATAGAAAAAACTAATAGGAAATTAAAATATAGTAAGTTTTATTCAATTACAAGATTTTTAGAACTGGACTTCAAAACATTCATAGAAAATATAGCATATAGTAAGATGCCTGGATGTTACTAAGACGTGAGGAATTTTTTTGATATCATCCAACCTCCTTCCATACGAATATCTTTACCAGTGATGAGGCTTGAATCATCAGAAGCCAAGAACACAACAAGGGATGCAATTTTTTCTCCAGTGTTCTCCCATTTTACACAATCTGTCATTCCTTCAAAGTATCATTTCGTTATTTATGTCAGAAATGAACTATGTATGAAATTATGTTAAAGACAAAGAAAAGGTGTAATGATTATATGACTGACTACGTAACCTCAATAAACAATAGTCTAACAAATAAGTCTATAACAATACATCAATTAATAAAGTAGGCAGGCAGTTTGAGGCAGAGAACCGATGAAATAAGCCTCAAAAACTGAAGAGAACAGAGGAGTCAGCTTTGAAGAACGGGAACAGAATAACAGAAGGATTCAAAAGTGCAAAGAAGATGAGAAAACAAAGACAGTATTAAAAAAGAACATTATTAATTTTATTAAGTTAGAAGAAATAAGAATTTGTTTCTTTTTTGTTTTTTGTTTCGTAAGTTGAATTATTATTTAGTTAAGGTTAGATTTTCATACCCTGGTCCCAGAGGCTCGACGATTTTTCTCCCGGCCACGTATAAAAGTATACGTGGCCGGGAGAAAAATCGTCGAGCCTCTGGGACCAGGGTAAGATTTTCAATAATTTAAGATTAAAGACTTTTAAAGTGTATCTGCTTGAGATTCGCATCTTGACAGTTGAATTTCTAAACATCAGGGCCCGGTTGTACGAAGAATGGATAGCGCTATCTGGAGGACAAATCCTTATCCAGTGGATAAGCGGATGCTGTTATCCAATAAATGTATCCACTCCACCCTATTTATCAAATAAAGAATTTTATTCTCAAGACAATGATGTGATCTAAAATCAGAAAATATTATGCCTAGATRAATTCTGGTCTATTGTGATCAGAAATAGGAAAGCGTTAGGTCAAAAAGATGAAAAATATTGTCTATGGCACATTGCATGACTCACCAGCTGCTCACACTTGGCTGTTTACATAGATCATGATAGATATTGTATTGGCAACGTTCCTAGCTACAGTCATAGTAAGACCAGCATCTACACTAGCCATGTTCAGCTCAATGTCCAGTAGCGTAATATGACTAAAAGAAATATCACGTGTTTCCTCGAAGGTTCTGGCATAAAACAAATGCTGAAATACCATTCTCCATTTTAAATCCTCACTAAATGGTCAGGGCATTCTGGATTTTCGATTCACAAGTTGAATTTTACATTTAAAGTTCAGGCTAACGCACATGAGGCAAAGAATACATAATGAAACACGTGATATATCTTTTAGTCTAAATGTACATGTAAATTTGTAAATGTGTAAATGTCTTTTTTTGGTGGACAGCGTTAATGACATTGACTGTATATATATCTCACCAACAAAAAGCAAAAAGATATCAATGAAAAGTGAAGGCCGTCATTAGTCATTTGATAAGGGCTTTCAAATCATGGCACTTAAGCAATACTTTTCACAGATGAAGTTTTGTCTACAGGACACTTCACTGTATGAAATAAAATTCTAACCAAGCCTTATCCATGATTTTGGTACATGTTAATCATAAAGATACTTTATCCAATTTTTATGTCTGCATAGGATCATAACTCAACAACTTCCACCCCCCTCCCCCTGACCCCTGTGTTTAACATGATAATTTTTGTTTGTATAATTATTAATGACTTTAAAATTAAACTTGCTTATTGTCTTTTTTAATAATAACAACTAATAGCCTGAGTTAATCAAATATTAAGTTTTATTTAAAATAGATTTTCATTTTTAGAACTGCCCTTTAAAACTCCAAAGGAAATATAGCATATGGAATTTCTGGATATTAGGGACCGACCGTTTATTGTTGTATTGTTGGGGGGGGGGGGAGGAGAAAAGCCACTCTGTGGAATCCCCTGTTATTCCCATTTATTATTATTTTATTTATTTTTATTTTAACTTAAAATTGTACCCCCTCTCCCTTATGATATTATAAACAATCAGTCCCTAACCAAGGTATGTGGAATTATTTTGATAACATCCAACCACCATCGATTCGGATATCTTGGCCAGTGATAAGGCTTGAATCATCAGAAGCTAAAAACACAACAAGGGATGCAACTTCTTCTGGTTTCCCAAACCTTCCCATTGCTTGCCTAGAAATGTAGCCTTCCAAGGCCTTCTTGGGATCAGGGGCTGAATCAATCCTTGATTGCAAAGAAGGAGTATGAATGGTGCAAGGGCAAATAGCATTACAGCGAATCCCCTTAGTGATGAAGTCCGCAGCAAGTGCTTTAGTAAATCCAATCACAGCCCCTTTGGAGGCTGAATAACTGAATCTGTTTGGGACCCCCATGACACTTGATGCAGCAGAAGACATATTGATAATGGAGCCAGAACCTATAATAGTATAAAGAGTTTGGATATCGTCAGGATTATTATAATATTAATAAACCCTGGGAAAGGGGGACTACCATACATCAACTATATGGAGAATGCCCTGGGGCCCCGGGGGGAATGCATCGTTAGATTTAACGTCAACAGTCCCCCCCCCCCCCTATCCCAAGCCATTGGCATCACATGGAGACCAGACTAGGTTCATACTCTGAACAAAAATCTAAATCCCTGCATAGCTAATATTATTTTAGACTCTACAAAATCTAGGCTAACAGCTAACTATGACCTAGGGTATAAGTATTCGAAATAGCCTACGATAAGAAACAAGTGCACTTCACCTTTTTCTAACATTTTGGGCAAGACTTCCTTTGTCAGCCTGAACATTGACTTGACATTAACATCAAAAGTAAGGTCCCATTCTTTCTCAGTGCACTCTAAAATATTCCCTCCAAAGACTATTCCAGCACAATTAAAGAGAACATCGATGCTCTCCAAGCCTGAAACGAGCTTCTTAATCGCCTCATCGTCGGTCACGTCAAGTACGCTTGTCTGGATATTTCCAGGGTGTATTTCAAGCTCTTTCAGTTTCTCTGCATTGATGTCTGTAGCGATGACTTTGGCGCCTTCCTCTGCGCACTTGATAGCAGAAGCATGGCCAATGCCTTGAGCAGCAGCAGTTATAAGAACTGTTTTACCAGAAAGTTTACCTTCTGTTTTTGTCGAAGCCATTTTGATGCTCTTCAAGTGGAAATCACCTGACTACAAAACAACATGACGTCACGTCTGTAACCCAAGCTCGTCCCCAGGGCCCTCTCACGTTCAAGAGAGAAGACCCTGGCGTTGGCTGGACACGTGACAAAGCGACACCCAGAATTCGGGTGTTTTAAATAAATGCCGTAGAAATATCTGGAAGTATACAGGCGCATGTTGCCAAACATACATTGGCAACTAAGAAAACATTGAAACTGGCTGACTATTCAAATGAACCAGAGTTTTCAACAGTTCTTCGTCGAGTGCAATTTGCACATCTTAATCAAATTAATGTCCTTTTGAGCATAGTTAGTTTTGAGTGGTATGATCTTCGGTAAAACTCGCTACTCCGCACTCCAGCACACGCTTCAGAGGGACGCCTTCTGTTGGTGTAATTTCTAAAATTTTTCCCCCAAGGATTTTCCTCTTTAGCTAGATTTCAATTTGATGCATTTGGGTAGAAAGGAATAGGTTGCTCAAAAATAGAATGTTTCACTATTTATATTCTCTACTTTCACATCCCCATAATACTTTGCGTCTTTTTGTAT